TTTTTTTTTTTTTTCTGGGTTTTTGGCCTAGACGCCAAGTCATCCACAATCAGCCGGGGTTCGCTCAATCAGTTCTGTGTTCGGGTGACCCGCGGAAAGAGTGACTTTGGCCACGGCAAGAGCGAGGGCAGGACTTGCAAAGCAAAGCCTCCTTAGATCTGCAGGGCTGAGGGCTTCAGAAGCCTCGGTTGCAAAATCCCACTGAGCCCAGCACTCGGGCACTTGCGGGCCTTTTTACCGCCTTTCGGTGCAGACACTCATTCAGTCAGCACCAGCCGGGTCGCATCCTGCTCCCTCCTTGTTAGGAGCGGAAGCTTAGCTGTTGATCTCAGGCGGCTTGTGAAAAGCGGGCGCACAAAAACTCGTAGGCCCGCTTTACCTGGCGGAACTTCTCTGAAGCTTCTTGGCTCCCTTGGTTCTTGTCCTCGGTAGTTTCTGAGAGCTTCTCCCACAAGTTGATGGATGAGTACACTTACAGGTCGATGTTGGAATATGTTGACTACTAGCATGCCATTTTATCCCAATCAACTAAAAACGTTCACGGATGTACCCATGAGGCGGGGTGGTACTGCAGCGCCAGCTTGCGGTAGGCGGCACGGACGTCCTCCACCGTGGCTCCCGGCTGAAGCCCAAGCGTCCCAAAGTGCTCAGAAGACACGCCTCTGGCCTCAAAACGAGGGGGCGCCTTGCTGGAAGGAGGTGGCTTTGCAGATGGGGGAGGCTGGGCCTGGTAGGCATTGGTGAACTCTGTGAACTCGTCCCCACTGGCCATGAAGATCCGGCTCCGGATCTCTGGGCCCGAGGCGAAAATACTGGGGATAAAGCCCGGTCGCTCCGACTCCCTTTTCGGTTTCGGCGCGGCTTTCCGTGGCTCCGGCTGCCTCTCGGGAGGGGGCGGCCCGGGAGGCCCTGAGGACCAGGTCTCAAAGCCCATCGTCGTTGCGAAGGGAGCTTCCCAAAGGGGCTTCTTGCACTTCTGACGCGCCTTCCGGGCTTGAGCCGCTGCAAGGAGCTTTGCCAGGCTGCTGTGGCCCTCGCTCGTGGCGAAGTCCAGTGCCGTGGAGCCCGAGCCCGTGGTTTGAGCCACATCCGCTTGGAAGTCCAGCAGCAACTGGGCCACAGCCTTGCTCCCATAACACGCGGCTTCCATGAGCGGAGTCTCCTGGGCTGGTCTTATGGGAGGGCCGTGACCATCTAAACAAACTCATGAATCATCTTGCTTCCTATACTACAGGTAGAACACACTTTCACGAAGGGCCTAGTCACTTTCCCCTTTTCTGAACCCAGACTCTGCCAATCAGCTGGGGAAGCAACACTTCCAGACTACCGAAATCTTCTGGAAGTCTCTTTCCCCTAAACCCCCGAAACCCCCCAAACCCTAAACCCCCTAAACCCTAAACCCTATAAAACCCTAAACCCTAAACCCTATAAACCCTAAGTTTCAAGAACGGCCGAGTCTCCTTGTTTAGCAGCTCCGAGGTGTTGGGGTCGGCGCGGCCCTTGAGGAGGCACGAGACGAGATTCAACGCATCCGGCCTTGCTCCGTCCCCCAGAGGGGTTTAGGGTTTAGGGTTTAGGGATTAGAGTTTAAGGTTTAGGGTATAGGGTTTATAGGGATTAGGATTCAGGGTTTAGGGTTTATAGGGACTAGGGTTTAAGAGTTTAGGGTTTAGGGTATAGGGTTTAGGGTTTAGGGTTTGGGGTGTAGGGTTTAGGAGTTTAGGAGTTGAGGGCTCAAGGATTCAACGCAGCTGGCCTTGCTCCCTCCCCCAGAGCCTGGCGCACCGCCAACCTCGGTCCGAAGAAGGACGAGAGTAGAATAGAAATGTACTATAATTGACTATAATCTACCACATTGTATACTATGATATCAATGTTCTAATATATACTGTGGTATTCCAAACTGTATTTTCATCTTCCTTTCCAGGGGATCCGTTTTTCAATCTTTGGGAAACCCAGACCACAGAAAGTAAAAAAGGATGTCGAAGATTGACCAAGCAACAAAAGAGCGGTCTCTCCTAGCATGTTTTTGGCCTCCAACTCTGCTTTTGAGTACTGAAGGTAGGACAGGACCAAAGCACCCTTTTCGCTGGACCGTACATTGGCCGCCAAGTGCAGGACGGTATTCCCATCGGCATTCTTGCGCTGTAGCAGGTCCTTCCTGATGGCGGGGGTGACTTGCAGGATTTCTTGCACCCGGAAATCGTTGCCGCTCCTCACTTCACGGATGAGGGCTGTGTGTGCACTTGCCAGCACTTCCTCATCCAGCTGCAGCTCGTACCCAGCCGATTCCGGAAGATTGTCATCTCCAGAACCAACCTTGTCGCCGGGGGCCGTTTTCCCTGAAAGGACAGGGATGAAAGTTGCCTTCGGCTTTGTCCGCACCTCTTCCCTTGCAACGCCCACCGCCGGGCGCACCAAACGGTGCATGTCTGTCCCGTTGAAGGTCTGCTGAACTTCCTTCGCCCGCGTGCTCGTGTCATCCGGTTCCCGCTGCAAGTTCAAGAAACTGACAACCTGCGGTATCTCTCCCAGAGGAGAGGCGCCATGCGACATGCGCTGCCACGCGTCCGTCACCGGCCGCAGTCGCCGCTGCTGGGAAACGGGCCCATGGCGGCGACCCCGCGGCACTCCCAAAGCTGTCCCTCAAAGCCCACGGCCCTCAAAGTCCAGGACCCTAAAGCCTAAACCCTTTTGAACGCGGTCTCTCTGAACCCTAAACCCTAAACCCTAAACCCTCAACGAAACAGTACAGGCACCAGTATTCTGTGGCTGCTGGGGTTCGGGTCCTGGGCCTGCAGCCTAACCCTACAAATGCACTGAAGCTTCCATTCGCTCCTGTTTTGCTCGAACCGACAGACCGGAAACCTTTCTTGAGCAGGGACTGCAACAGTTGAAATTGGATCTGTGTAGGTTTTTCTTCCCTCCTACACAGCAAGGACGAACCCGCATTGCAGGGTATCTGTGTAGGGTTTAGGGTTTAGGGTTTAGGGCTACTAAGCCCATGCTAAGCTCTAAACCCCTCAACTGTCAAGCGAGACACACACTGAAAAGGAGGGAGGTCGCGATGCCACCCGTGAGGCGGCCGATAAGGAGCATGAACATCGACCTCGATCTTCTTTCCCAGGCTTTCTTGTGTCTGCGGCTTCGAGGGTTGAGGGTTTAGGACCGGACGTAGGGCCTTAAGGGTGCCTTACTCCCTTACACCCTAAATCCGAAACCCTAAACGCTAAACCCCCAAGGGTTTTCTTGTGGATCTTCGTATCCCCCAAAATATAAATGGAGTCTCCGTGAGTTCGCAGGCTTTGTAGGTTCGGAGGCTTCAGGACTCCTGAGGGGTGCAGGACATAGACATATGGTTGATGATATACACCCTGCATAACCCATAGTAAGGAATACACCATAATTCCCAGAGTTTAGGGTCCTTAAAGTAATGGAGGATGTATATCATCAACAGTAGAACCCGACTCTTTCACAAGCCGCATGACTCATTCTTCGCCTCCTACTTCGAAAGAGGGCGCAACTGCCCCCCGTAGTGTAGGTCGGAAGGCTTCCACCACTTCGGGAAGGTGTGCACGAAGCAACTATCTCACTTCAAGAGGACGCGTGACTCGTTCTGTCTGCGGTTGCGGGTTAAGCTCCCCCCTGCCTGCACAAAGAAAGGCTGGGGGGATCTAGAGGTCAGGACCTACAAGAACCACAGACCATCCGAGTAGCTTGAAGTGCTTCGTGAGGCAGGACCTCGGAGTGAGCTGCTGCACTCCTGCTCTGGATCCGGCAACGTCACCGAGATTCTTTAGCCGGTTTTGGGAGTTTGGGCTTTTAGGCTAGCGGGCTTTCGTTGTTGGCAGCGAGGGAAGAACCTGTCAGGTTCCAGGCTGTGCTCTGATGACTGAGGCTGCCGCATGAAGTAGAGCACGCAGTAGAGAGCCTGAGCCGGCTTGCTGCGAAAGAACAAAAGACGAGTACTACGGCCCATCATCACATGTATGATTCAGTTTGCTGCCGTTGTCACAAACCGAAGAGTCGAACAAGCAACTGCACTTAAACTACACGTCGTGCTGTCGCAGCGAAATTAGCCACAGCCCTGCCTCAAAAGTAGCTGCACACTACATCGCTTTAGAAACTTGCATCCAAGAGGCTGCAAACCTTCGGCGCCCGTACTTGTCGGCCATAGACCCGATGAAAGTGCCGAAAAGGGCACTGCTGCCAAAGCCCGCGACGAAGAGGGTCGCGTTGTCCTCGCGCGAGAAGCCTTTGCACGGATGGAAGCACACGTATAAGTTTCTCCCGTTCGCGCATGTCCAGCAAATGAAACTTAGCCCTCCCGGGGCCCAATGCAGCAATGAACCATACGACGCATAGAGCGCATACACAAAGGGGCCCTGAAGCCAATCCGCCATCATCGCGCTCAAATAGACCTGAGGAACAAATGGACAAGTTTCTGATGCAACCCCGCTCTAGGTTCGATTCGATCGCATCAATCATAACAATAACAATAATTACTAGTAGTCAGTAGTGATAATGATAATAGTAGCAATAATAATGATAACAATAAGCATAATAACGTTGATCCTTCACTGCATGGAGGGAGGCTGTAGAGTTGCTGGTAGCACTCGGGTGGTCTTGCCGCCCAGCGGCCGAAAGATAGATGCGCTGCAGCCGGCTCAATCCATCACTAGTGCCCGTGGACACCTTAGAGGCACTAGAGTTTAAGGCCAAGGCGACTCGGACGGAAGGAAGAAGGTCGAGGTCCGGTCCAAGCCCTTGAGCATCTGAATGCTCGACCGGTCGATGACAATGACCAGTGTCGTTGCAACGAGGCCGGCCTCAGGATGTTGAAATGCTGGAAATTGCCGCCTCCAGCTCGACAATTCACTCCCGAGCCCGGGACGCATATGCAGCCATAGAGGTAAGCTGGCGCCAGCATGACGGCACAGCCCAAGAAGTGTGCTGAACTTGCACTACAGTATGGACGGGGCAATGTTGCGAGAATGGGAGATGGCTATCAATGACTGCTGCGGGAGTGTGCACTGGTTTGCTTTCCTTGCTTGAGCAAAAGACAAATATTCGCGCCCATGAAAGGCCCCCAAACATGAGAAGACACGAGTTGGCTCTGTGCACAAAGCAGGTTCAAGCTCCAGGAATCTGAGAAGCGAGTGCCGGCCTAACGATTCGGACTCTCACTGTCGGACAGCACCCACTGCTAGGGATTTGGGTGTTTAGGGTGTTGAAGCTGTTTAGGCATTTAGGGTGTTTGGTGTGTTTAGGGTTTTGGGTGTTCGGGATGGCCCTAGGGTTTGAACCCCACCGATGCCAAGCTACGCTCCACGCGAGAGCCCGCTGACGTGGAGAAGGTGTCGGAAGCCTGACTGCTTCTCTGCGGCCATGTGCCTGGGGCAGCAAATTGTCTCAACCCATCTGAATCTGGCTTTCGCTGCCGTCCCTAAACCCCCGAAGGGCAAAACAGAGCCGATAACCCAATAGCTCAATGGCCTAAGGCGGCACAGACAAATAATATCCTACTCCCCTGCAGCCTTGGTTTCACCCTCACAAAACCCTCAAGCCTAAATCCTCAGAACAAGATTTTGTTCACAAGGGGCTCGACTGCTGCCCTCACTGCCCAGCTCGACCCACAACACCGTACTCATCCTCAGAATTGACTACAAGATCGTGTTGCAGGGTTCACGGCACAGTCCCGGCGCTAACGCTCGGACTCTCCAAGCGACGCAGGTGTCCACACGGTCTTTCTAATCCATCCATTTGAAGCGAATGCCGGCAACCCGGGAAGACACCCGAAAGCTACACCTCAGGACTGCAGACCCTGCAAAACTCCATGCCAGCATCTGCCCGATTCCCAGGGGCGAGCATCCTAGGTTGGGGGATCCTCGCAGGAATCCCACAACCCGCCCAACAGCCCGAAGACTCTCTGTTGATATACTATCCAGAGGTAGGCCCTACAACTGAGACATAAGCTCCTCCAACCCGAAATACAGCCCCCTCAACTCCCCCTGCTTGAACCCGTACTCAGGCGCACTCCCCTAAACCTGTTCCTTAAGCTCTAAACACTTTGGCCAGGTGCCAGGAGGACACGCTCCATCCTAAAGACCCCAGGTTTAATGGGGTTTGAAGGTATATGATAGAAGCTACAGTAAGAACTCTTAGAGCACACTCTTTTTTCGTGCCGACCCCATGGTACTTAATAGGTCTCCACCCACCCAAGCAAGAACGGGTCGAAGGGCCAAACGAAGAAGAGCATGGACACCATGACCTCAACAACCATCAGAATGACAGGGTTTAGGGCTTAGACTCACAGTGAACCGGATTTGGGGTTTTGGGTTTGTTTAAGCAATACATCAACAACCATCAGGAATGACAGAAGTCAGCAGGAGACAAGGAAATAATGATTGTCACGACATTCGTTTCCGAAACACCGTGACATGATAATACCACAATCGCTGCAATCATAACGGTAATGCTTCAAAATTGTGATGTTAGCTACCCGCACATAATAAGGGGTTTCTGTCCGAAATTCAAAAACTCGGATTAAACTCACCAAAAACTCAAACCAGGACATTTTTCAAAACTCAGACAAAAAATCACCGAAACACTTGACGGAAACTCAATAACATTCAAATAAAACCCAAATAAAACTCCAGAAAAACTCAAACAAAACTCAATCAAAACTCAAAACCTATTCCAGCATCAGAAAGACTCAAATACACCCAAAACAGCAGGGAAAGGCTTTGTGGAGCCCGGGGCCCGGGCAGGAGCTCTGGGGCATAGAAAAACTCTGGAAAAACTCAAAAAAAACTTAGCGGAAACTCAAAAACCACTCAAAACTGCCCGCCGAGTTCTTTTTCTGAGTTTCCTACGAGTTTCCGGTGAGTTGTCCTTTGAGTCGTATTTTTGGAGCCTGAATTCGGGCTGAGGTTTTGGCTGAACACTGGTCTGAGCTTTTTGTGAGTCTCAGCTGAATTTTTTCCGTGTTTTGAATAAACCCATGAAAACCCTTATGCGTGGTCGGGAAAACATCACAACTTTAAAAGTTCATAAAGCGATCGTCGCAAAGGCCGTAAAGGTAGCGGTAGCCACGAAAAAAATCAAACCATGGAGGGTGAAGGGCTCATTCAGGGATTTTGAGATCTTCGCTTTGAGCGCTGTTCATTGTGAGGCTTCACCGCATGTAGGGGTTGAGGGTTTGAGGATGAAGTGCTCCATGAACTCACACTCCGCTAGAACCAATGAAGTACACTGTGAAATTCTGCGCTTGCTTTGGGGTTGCGGTGTAGACATGGGGTTCTTAGTCTCGCGATAAACCACTGCACCATGGTGAAAGTGACTGCGAAGCGAAGCGCCCTGTGGAAAGACACCTGGATGGAAAAACTCTGCCGAGCACCCAACAAAAAAACGAGAGATCGTAGGGGCATACCTCGACTATGCTCATTCTCATGTTCTGCCAACCGGAAACCAAGCCGTTCTGAATCCTTCGTCCAACGTGCATGTAACAGCAGCAACACTTCTACCAACAGTTATATACTACTAGCAGTACAACCGATCGCAAAACAAGACTCCGCGCGGATGAATCCTTGTGGAATTTGGGGTTTATAGGGCTTAGTAGCTCACTCTCCCTCCCACTACTACCTTCAAATTGTCATGACGATTGCCCATATCGCTAGGATTGACATGTTGAAAGCCTAACCATCACATGTTGAAAGCCTAACCATCACATTTCCATGATAACTCAGTGTCACAAGTTGCTATTGTGGCCTGTGTGGCTCCTTTCAATGACCGGTTTGAATTTGTTCTGGTTACAGGCACGACAACATGATTTGTCTCGCGAGCACCGTGACTGTTATTGTGCGAGTTTCTCAAAACAATCTCAAGATCATCACCCACCGTCTCTTCTCTGGCACCTCCAGGGCAAAGATCACTTGGGAATGTGGGGCCCCGGCCACGTAAACCAGGGCCAGCGAGAGGGTGTACTCCTCAGACCGGCTTGGGGGCGATGACACCACGACTGGTAGTCGGCAGAACCAATTTTCGGGCTTCTGGCGCAGGGTTTTGGGTTTTCCGATGCGGGGAGTTCGGCGCTCACACTCGGACACTCCAGGCGAGGCACGTGGTCGAGGTCTGACTGATGTGAAAACACGAGACGGGAGCAAGCATCGTCCACAACCCCCAATATAGAATACAACCTACTATAGCGAAAGATCCCCCTGCTCACTCTCGAAATCCTTCTTGAGATAAGCATGGCCTAGGTGAAGGATTTCAAGCTCTACAACATTCTACAATACTGGGATGCTCCCACGGGGTTTTGGGTCAAGCTGGGACCAATGGCTTTGGGGCTTAGGACGCCATCCTCACCCCTGTTCCCATAGTCGAAACCATCACACAAGGTGTTTGCAGTCAAGAGGCCACCACCCCGTCCACGACGTGCTTTGGAGTCAGCCCGGTCCTGAGCATTGCTTTGCTCGACACCGCGGGGGTTGGCGAAGACAGGTTTCTCGCAGATGTGCGATCTAAACCCTATCGCTGGGCCCCTGCGCAAGGCAGAGACCACAGCCACCAAAATCCCCAAACACCAAACCCTAAACTTGGCCCTAAACCCTAAACCCAAAGCCGCAACTTGAAGTTGAACCTTTGGGTCTAACCTGCAACCGGCGCCCCATCCTAACCCTGCGTGCAGACGGTGGGTCGGGGCCAACTCGGGCGTCCCACAGTGCGGGGCAAGGGGGTTTACGAGTGGCTTGAGGAGATTTAGCTGCAGTCGCCATGACGAGGAGTATGAGAAGAAGGGAAGGAGGACTTCTTTGCAGATATTGTTGCCGACAACACGGCTTTCGTTTGCACGAAGACGCGCATGAACAACAAACTGGGTGTCCAGACTGCCTACTCAAGAAAACTCATCCCCCAAAACCCCGGCATCGGATCGGAGGAATTGCGGTTGCGAATGTCCAGAGTAAACCCGCAACAAAAGTTGGCAACCGGATTACGCACACTTAGCGCTAGGATTCCCCATACACTACTCTTTACATTGAACCGAATCTTGGGCTTCTACTCTAGGTCCCTTGGTGCAAAAGACATGCAGCCACCCGGCATCTGCAGAAGCTGCTGGGAGTCCCGGTGGCCGATCTGCTCGAGCAACCAGCTCTGCATCCTCCGGGTTTAGGGTTTAGGGTTTAGGGCTTAGGGTTTAGGGGGGTGTTGCTGTTTTTCTTGGGGGGGTTGTCGAGTTGTAGGGGCTTTAAGGCTTCCAGGCCCTTAAGGGTTTAGCGGTTTAGTGAAGTTTAGTGTTGTCTGACTCTTCGCAAGGACAAGCCCGCATGACAG